TTTCCTTATCTTCCGTATGAGGCTTTTCTCCAATCTTGTCTCCTTCAGAGCCTTTGATGTTCCTTGTTTTGTTTGCTGATTTCTTCCCTGTTTCTCCAAATTTCTCCTTTTTTACTCACCTCGCATGTCGTGCTATACATTCTCGAACAATCCTAGTTGTCTACCTTCTCATGTTGAGTAGGTAAATTCATAAAGAGCGTTGTTCTTTCTTTCTTAGTCAAATGAATATTCCTTTTTTTTTATTTTTGTTGTCCTTTTTGAATTAGGTCCCAGCAAGTTAGGCATATCCAATTTTGTGAGTCAGTCTCCATCCTTTTCTTTCATAATCCCCGTCATGCCATCAACTTTCATGGTTCCTATATTTCTTTGTATTACGTCTCTCGGAACATCAGACTTATCTTGGAATTACACTTCCGTTAATCGGATGATCAAGCTCTTCATTATTCCTATCATTAGCCGGTAGTTGTGATGAGACTAAAAATTGAGTATTCTTCCTGCATATTGCTTTTTTCTAAACAATCTTTTTTTGAGCATCCCATTAGAGCGAATAGCCTCCACATCGAGGAGAAATAACCGGTCCTTTTTATCTAATTCCATTGTGAATTTGATCCTCTTATAAACCTGTTTTATAAAAGTGGGTTTACCTCGTTGTCGCAACTTGGTCTTGTTGTCAAGGCGACCTAGTAGAACGCACTTTGTCTGAACTCCTACCAACCAAATTTATCTTTCAGGCGAAATGTATGAGAATGTACCAAGTGCACCGTCTGATGCTGGGAATTATGATAACTGCTATGCCAGAGGCAGATGGGGGAGGGTGTGAGATGTGTGAATGGGGTAGATGGCCAGGGCAGATGTACCAGGGCAGGAGGAGTGATAATCCAACCGTTGAGCAGACAGCCTGCCAAGGGATTGACGAGTTGTTGCTTAGTACTGAGAATGACGAGATTCACTGACATTGCCGACTACGATGCCGGCGAAACTTCTGGGAATGTACTAAATCCACGGTCCGATGCCGGGACAAAGCGCATCCGACCAAGTCGCCCTGGCAACACGATCAAGTTGCGAGAATGGTGTCAGACCGCATATAATATCATGTAATGCCTCTTTAAACTCGCAAAATTAGGTATAAAAATATGCATGATTACAGTAAGATACTCTTTATTGACTTAATATATTGGTGACTTTCTGTAAATGATGATTTTTGGCTATGAAAACGTTTCTTGAATAGTAGCAGGGGGCTCAACATAGATGTATTGTAGTAGCAGGTCAGTGAGCCATTTCATGCTTTGTGTGATTCAGCTTTTCATTTCGAAGTAAATGTTAGCTGGAAATAATTAGGAAATCAAATCACGAATACGGTTGGATTCGTCACATATCGTACGATGTTGGCGAAATGACTTGTAATGTACCAAGCCGACGTTCCAACACTGTGAATTATTACAACTCCTGTAGTTTAATCGAAGGTATAAAGACCAAGATGGTGTGGCCTTTTGTGTGGTCGCAGTCTCCTTTCGTTG